CCAGCCGCGCACTCTCAGAGGCAGCTGGGCAGGTAGGCGCCGCGAGCCGAGCCCCCCGCGCCCCGGGCTGCGTGGCCATGGAGAACCAGGTGCTGACACCGCACGTCTACTGGGCTCAGCGACACCGAGAGCTGTATCTGCGTGTGGAGCTGAGTGACGTGCAGGTAAGGCCGGTCCGGGCGGCGAGACGCGGCTCCGAGCGCCCTTAGCGCCCGGTCCCTTCCGTCCGATTGCGCGCCGAGCAGCTGCAGCAGGTCCGGGAGATCCGGACCCCGAGCCCTCGCGGCGTCCAGGCCCCGGGGCCGCTGGCCCTCGGGACGCACGCGCACCGGCAGATCTCGGGCGGGCACTACGACCGAGGCTGCGGGCATCCTCAGCTGCCTAGTGGGTCCCGAGCGAGCGGGCCTCGGCGGCTCCCGGCACCTCTTTGTTCGCCATCTATGGCCTGGTGCAGCTCGCGCCGACCTTGGAGGATTGGCCGGCTGGGTTCGGGTTTCCCGCTGTGCTTTGAGGCATAGGATGAGCTCGTAGAGTTTGGGGTGCAGTGTGACAGTGGGGTGTCTGGATGGACAGTGCTGGCCTGTGGCTGGATGCCCAGTCTTGGCCTGAAAGGTCCAGCCAGGCCCCTCCGACCTCCCTGACCTCCGAGGCCAGCCACACGCAGCCCTGGAGGGGCCACACCCACTTCCCATTTGGTTAGTGATAGACAACATTTTCATGAATTTCAAAATCTTAATGAATTTTGAAATTCGAAAGATCCCAGGGAAGTGATTCCCCTCCACCTTCTTGAAGGCATTAAGAGAATTTAAGAATGATTTTGAATTCTAGTAAGCGTTTGCGTAGAATCTGATTGGCTTCCCAGTGTGAAGCAGCAGAGCCCATTCTCTATATGTTCACCATCCACCGCCCGACTCCGTCTTTGAGGACCTGTAGCTTTCAATCCGCGATCACCTTTTATGTCAACTGTACTTGTCATTTTGTGCCAGAAAGCATTTTGTGGCATAGCTTTCTGCCTGCAAGTCAAACATTTTTGCTTGTGTCTCTCACTTCCTCTGGTGATTACCTGGAAAGTATAGGTGCTTTCTGAATGTTAACTTAAATGGGCTGAATTTGATCTTTATTCCTGGAAAATAAACCCACTTTCTCATTCAACGATCAAGACAGCACTTTGTTAGCAACTAACAATGGGGGTATCGTGTAGCTTCGCTGTGTGTGCCAGGCCCAGGAAGCATTCTGTATGGTTAACAGGAATACAAATACAGATGACTGGGAGAACAGTTTGACCCTGCCTAGGTGAGACAGTGGTTAAGTGCTCGACTACTACCACAGATGCCTCCACAGATGCCTCAGAAGAAAGGCATGGTGGTCAGTTTCTGACCTCCCCCCCACCCCCCAGTGTGTTTTCTCTGCACACACGTGGTCACCATGAGCAGGATTTGACTCACAACTAATAACCACAGGGACAGTCTGAAGCCGTGCCCAGCCTTTATCTCGGAAGTTTTACACCTTCAAGAAGTTCTTAACACATGTGAATAAGGAGGCGAAATGTTCACTGCAGCAAAAAAAAAAAAAGGAAAGTTACTTACATGCTCGTTACTTGTTAGGAGAATGAAAATTATGATGTGCTTTTGCTCTCAGAAAACCTACCAACCACTCCTGTGGAGGAAGAGCCAGCAGCTCAGTTCCAGAAAGTTGCAGCTTTAAGAAGCCCATGGGCACTTTTACTCTGCCCTACAGGGACACTATGGGTTGGAATTGAGTAGTCGCCAGTGGGTTTAGTTTGGTTTTATATTGTGGGTGATTGGGGAGAGGGTCTAAAGCAGGGGTTCTCAAACTATGGCCTGCGGGCCACATGCGGCCCGCTGAGGACATTTATCCGGCCCGCCGGGTGTTTTTGCTGCTGCTGCCTGTCCTGCTTAGCAGCCAACTCGTCCAGTGTGCATAGGAATTGGTTCATAGTTTTTTTTAAAACTATAGTCTGGCCCTTCAGCGGTCTGAGGGCCAGTGAACTGGCCCCCTGTTTAAAAAGTTTGAGGACCCCTGGTCTAAAGAAGCAAAGGTTCATTCTCAGTTGGGTGCCCTCAGAAAGTGGGGGCAATTCTATTACTTTTGCGGTTGGCATAGTGACTTGTGCTTCATCAGGATGATGCAGTGGCCTTCTGTGTTTTGTTTCATTTTATCAGGACTCAGAGTAACCTTGTCTGAGGCTTGTATTCTGTGAGATTGCTTATTTTCAGCAGGAGAACAAAATGGCCTGACTGCACAGCAGCACCAGCCATGGATAAAAGAGACGGACAGGCTCAGAGAGCTTCATACAGGTTTCTTTATGTTCCTCTTGTCTCTGAGGGGGCACATCTGAGTGGACCCCTTTCTCTTGAAAGGAAAAATGGAATAACCTGTTTTAATGTTTGCCTGGGAAGTACATTAAAGATTCAGGCCATGGTTTGTGCTGCCCTGGGCTGGTCGCGCACATACCCTCCGGCAGACATCTATTAACATTTCAGTCTCCCAGGAGAGCTGATGTTCATTTTTACACGGTAAAAGCACCCTTATCAGTTAGGAGATAAAAGGAAAGCTATGTTCCCAGCAGCCGCCAAGGGCTGATCTTGGACGCAGGCCCTTTAAGATAATAGCTTCAGGCCTGCTGTGTTCATTCTTACACATTCTTTCTTAACGTCAGGCCTGCTACTGCATCTTTCTTACACGGACAAGCACACTCAGGATGTGCTTGAGAAAGGGAGCCCTTGCTTACAGAGTTAGGTAAATTAGGTGTCTTCCTTCTTTGTGGTTCTGCCAGGTGGAGAACAAAGGGAGGAGGTTGGTAGGATTTTGGTTCAGTGAACAGTTAGTGGAGCCCTTGGGCGGTCAGCTATGAATGCGATCCAGTCCTTGCTGCCCTCAAGGAGTTGGCATCTAGGGGCATGCCAGGTTCTTTGCTTTTCTCCCCACCGCAGAGCACAGAGCAAAGAAGCCGGTGTGTGCCTTTCTCCCGATTCGTACCCTTTCACTGTAATAAACCTGAGCTGTGAGCAGACTGTAAGTACAGAAACCAACCAACCAACCAACCAACCAACCAACCAACCAACCAACCAACCAACCAACCAACCAACCAACACCTCCCCCAAACAAAAACTCACTGCCTTCGAAGGACAGGGGAGAACTGCCCTGCCGATTTCTGAGGCTGTCAGTCTTTATGGGAGCCGAAAACCTTAGCTTTCTCCCTTGGAGAGGCTGGTGGTTTTTTGCTACCTTGTGGTTAGCTGTCCAGTTGGTGATCCACTACGTCACTGTGCCTGGGCACTTAAATACTTGGTTGGGCACATCCGCCTGCCCTGGAGCACAACCTGAGCCATCATACCCTTTCTGCCCCTTCCAAGTGAATTAGGGTATGGCAGACAATTCAGAGTTGGGCAAGACGTGACCTAGATAAGAAATTTATCTCCATGATACCCCAGAACTCTCATGTCTGTGATAGTATTGTTATCAAAATTCTTGTTCCCCATATTAAGAAAACGCCCCCTGGAAATGTAGCCCATTTTGATGAGGGTCTACTCCCCTGCCCCAGAGAAGCCCATCCAGATTTCTCATCCCTTTGGGTGAGCCGCATCTGAAGCTTAACGAAATGTTCCTCCCTCACAGAGGCGGCAGCTTCCCTTTGCTCTGACCCTGACTGTCTTGGCTGGAATGGGAATCTAGTCTCTCCGTCCAGCAGCCAGTAGACCGCTCCAGCTGCTTGTTCTTTGAATGATGATACAGAAAACGGACCCTGTGCCCCCAAACCAGAATCGCTTCTATCAAGTTGATTCGGACTCCTAGCGAGTCTGTATCGGAAAGAGCAGAAAGAGTAGGCCTGTCTGTGTGGGTGTCCAAGGCTGTCAGTCTCTACTGGAGCCGCCCCCTCATCTTCCTTGGTGGGCTCACACCTTTCTTCAGTTAGCGCAGAGAGCCCGTGGGGTTGCTGTGAGTCGGAACCAACGCAGCGGCAGCACTGAGTTTGGGCCTATGGAGAAAGAGGGCCGAACAAGAACCCCACCTACCACTTGCTTAGTGACAGTTGAACTGGGATGGAGGGGTTGGGGTGTTTCTCATTCACTGAAAGCAAGCAGACACTGAAATCCCAAGTGGTTTCACTTTAAATGCTTCCAATGGCGTGTGGCAACTCCTGGGAGTAAATGGACGGACTCGAGGATTTGAAACTCTGGGCTGGCTTGTGTAAGAGACCCTGGAGCCTGAAGCCCAGGCACAGCGTGGCTCCGTTTCTAAGCACGGGGCTTTCAGCCCTCTCTCACTTCCTGCAAGTGCTGATTTCATCCTGTCAGCTTCCGATCCCCAGCATTCGGTTCCCACTGCGTACCCTTTCCCCGTAAGCATTGATATTAGGGTTCTCTAGAGAAGCAAACCAGGACAGTTATGAATCTCTATTTATAAAGGATAAGTTTATATAGCAAAAAGGAATATAACAGCAAGTTAGCCCACACAGCAGTACAGAGCTCAGTCCAACTCCCTTTCGTGGGTCGGTAGCCCTCGACCAGGGACGCAGACAGCACAAGACGAGCTGCTGCCTGTGGCAGCAGAGGCCAGGTCGTGGTGCAGCCTCTCCTTATAGTGATGTCACGTGGCTGGCAGGGGGTGCGGTGCCTGGAGTGGTGGCAAGACGAGTGGAGTTGGGCCCACAGGCAAACAGACACACAGGCAACAGACATGGCAAACTGGGTGGAACAGCGTGGCCGGGTGAGCAGAGCACTGCACAGCCCACCTGTAGCGCAGACATGCGAGGAGCAGGACAGCCCCATTAGGCAGCGGGCAGGTCTTACCACCGGGGAGAGAGAGCCTATGTAGGGGTGAGTAAATAAGAAAGCCGTTCTCTGGGGAGGCCAAGGGTCAAGCCCTAAGGAGGGAGAGGGGGAAGGGGCACCTGGATTTCATTTCCTTTTCTTCCTCACCTCCTTGGTCTGTCTTCACAGAACCCTGCCATCGGCGTCACGGAAAACGTGCTGCATTTCAAAGGTCAGTATGGGTGGGCCACCCCCTCGCCTGCTGCCGGAGGAGGGCTGATGGCGATTCCCTTTGCCTGCGCCTGCGCCTGCGCCTGCGCCTGCGCCTGCGCCTGCGTCAGCGCTCACCTCGATTCTGTGGGTGAACGAGATCGCTGCGCCAGGCGTGGTTAGGAAAGTGAAACGATGTGTTTAACAGCGTGCTCCCCCTTTGGTGAGTTAGTGGGCAGAGTGACAAGAATCCTGAGGTGGAAATCCAGCTCTCTGTCTCTAGGCCTGACTGCCACCACTTGGATAAGTTAATGATTAATCAGCACCTATAAAATGAGGGTATTGAGTTAAATCTGTTTCTCAAAAGCGCAGGCCAAGGACACCAGAGAATATACTTGCAGCCGCCCTCTCCCCCCATGGGCCCACAGAACCCAAATGAAAAAATACTGTTAAGAACTGAACAAGATCGCGTTTTGTGATCTTTGGCTCTGCTGCATTTCTGAACACAGACACAGCACACTGCCGCTGACTGGAGTGGCAGTACTTGGTTATCTGAACGACTCAGAATATGCATGTTTTTGTTTTTTAAAGATGATGATGAAGACAAAATAGAAATATTCTTGAGGAGATACCACACTTACAGGCCAGTTTGAGAAGCGCGATACGCTTGATGATGCCTAGGCCTCTAAGCCTCTCTGGCTCTGACATGCCCTTGACTCCCCAAATACTCCTCCATCTCTCTTCGCCTCAGCTCGTTGGCTGATTTAACGCTCTGCCTGAGAGAGCAGGTTTGGGTTCATGGTCACCGGGTGGGATGGACTTCTTCCTGTTCTCCATCTAGTCCAGTTCCTTAGCGTTTGTCCTTATTAAGTGGCCATGGTTATGAGAGGCTGAAGATTTGTCTACATTACAGTAGGTTCATTTTTTCCAAATATACTTGCATGACACTATAACCTGGCTTTTGTATCGTCTTTACAAGATAGAGGGTAGTGGTGGTAGCAGCTCAGGTTTTATTTATTTTTTTGGCCAAATACATTAAAAGGGAAGTTAAAGTGATAAAGGGTATTTTACCACTTGGAGCTTATAGAATGTCCTTATCATTAGGAATTTAAGTCTAACGGAAAAATAGCTTCCTGTAGCAAATGTTAAGCAGGTTCAATCACATGTGGCCAGATGACGGAAGGGATCAAATGACGGGCGAATCGGAGTGATCGAAGGGAGGGGGGTGGAGGGGGGGCCCAGCAGCCACTGGCACCTCAGCATGAGGCCTGCTTTGATTTGGGGAGAGGAGCAGAGTTCAGACACAAGCGGAAGCCAACCCAGAGACTTTGCTCCCAGTTCCAGCCAGCCTCTTGTAGGAATGAGCTGAGAACTGAGTTCTCCGTCTTCCATTTGGAGTGTCCTGAAATAGAAGCCCGCCTCTCCCCTTGTCCTCTGATCACGAGAATGTTCTTGTTCGCTGTGGTTCTGATGAATAGCCAGCCACCCTTTGCACAACAGAACAAAACACTCCCCAGTCCTGTGCTGTCCCCACATGTTGTTATGTTTGAGGTCATTATGGGAGCCACTGGGTCAGTCCATTTCATGAAGGGTCCCCCTCTTTAGCAAATGTCTTTTTCTATGCATTAGTCTTTTTTATTTAATTTATTTTATGCTTTTTCTTGGGGGCTCTTACAGATATCATAACAATCCGTAAATCAGTTACATCAAGCGAGCTTGTACATATGCTGCCGTCATCATTTTCAAAACATTTTCGTTCTACTTGAGCCCCATGGTATTAGCTCTTTATTCCCTCCCTCCCACTGGACTGGTCTTTTTGGATAACATGTCCACATGACGTGGAAGGAAGTCTTACCACCTTTGCTTCTACAGATAGTTCTGGCGGCACATTCTCCAGGACAGATCCGTTTGGTCTTCTGGCAACCCCTGGCCCTCTGAATATTCTTCACTGACACCATGACTCATGCTCATCACTTCTTGGACCTTCCTTATTCCTTGTCCAGCTTTCCTATGCGCCTCGGGCAATTGAAAATACCATGACTTGGGTCAGGTACACCATAAAGTGATATTCTTACATTTCAACACTTTAAAGAGGTGTGGGGCAGCAGATTTGCCTAATGTAATACTTGGATTTCTTGACTTCTGTGAGCATCGTTTGTGGATAAAAGCAAAGGGAAATCTTGGCTCTGTTTATCAGGATGTTACCTGTTGGTTCAGTTGTTGGGATTTTGTTTCTTTGCATTTAGTTGAAGGCCGCAGCCTTTAATTTTCATCAAGTACTTCAAGTCCCTCCTCTCTCAGCAAGCAGGGTTGGCTGTCTGGGTACTCAGCTTGTTAATAACCCCCTCCGGTCCTGATGCCACGTCCTTCAGATAGGCTAGCTTCTTGGATTATTTGCTCAACATTCATGTTGAGTAAGTGTGGTCAAAGGAGGCAACCTTGAAACACACCTTTCCTGACTTTAAACCTTGCTTTTTTCTCTTGCTCTGTTCTGAAAATTGCAGTTGGTAATTTACAGCTTCCACATGAAAACAAAGAAGTGATGAATCCCAGTCTTCTCCGGGTTTGCTGGGCGCCACACAGCCGGATGCACGTTCAGTCTAAACTGCCAGCGAGCACCTTTCCCCAAGCTCTGCGCTTTCAGCCAAGGTCCCTGTGCAGCGGCTGACGTGCCTCACGCCGCATCCTGTTTAGAATCGGGCTTAATTTCTGGCAGCTCCCTGATTGACATATACTGCAGCCATTTTTGAATTGTTTTCAGCAAAATTTCTTTACCTGCCTGTGATATTAATACTACCATTCAATAATTCCTGCTTCCTGTTTGGTTACATGTCTTTGGGATGGGCAGAACTGTGGGTCTCTTCTGATCAGTTGGCCAGATGAGTCCTCTCTCAATTTCTGACATAGACGAGTGAGTACTTCCATTTGCTTCATCTGCATGTTGAAACCTGTCAGTTGGTATTCTGTCAATTCCTGGAGCCTGGTTTTTGGCTAATTCCTTCAGTGCAGCTTGGAATTCTTCCTTTAGTGGGTTCTTGATCATATGCTATTTCTTGAAATGGTTGCATCAGCCAGTTCTTTTGGTTCAGTGACTCCTTGTATACCTTCCACTTTCTTTTGCTGCTTTCTGCATAGTTCGGCATTGGCTCATGGAATCCTGTAATATCACAACCCGAGACTTGCGTTTTTCCTTCAGTCCTTTCAGCTTGAGATATCCTGAGTGTGCTCTTCCTGTTTGGCTAAGTCCAGGTCGTTGCACATTCAAGATAATAATACAGTCACGTGATTTTCCTCTGTTCCCATTTCAGAGCCAAAGTAAATGGACAAGCTGAATATGTACCTGTGTTGCACCTTGTTGAATATGTGTCTGTGCTAAATGTGTCTCTGTTACACCTTGTTTTCTGTAGTCTCTTCTTCCCTGCTGTGACCAAGCTCACACTGGAAGGTTAAGTAAATGCTTTTGAAACGGGTCAGAAGGCGATAGGGAGCTAGATTCAGTTTATCTGACTGTGGTGAAACGTGCTCACCACCCCTCCCCTGTTTGGGGGAGGGCCCATTAATATGTGCATACTTCTGAAAAATTGCCTCAGCCGACTTTGGATGTGCTGCTCTGCTCGAGTCCACAGTGACCTTTCCTTTTTGCTTTTATAGCTCAGGGACATGGTGCCAAAGGAGACAATGTCTACGAATTTCACCTGGAGTTCTTAGACCCTGTGAAGCCAGAGGTATGCTTTCTCCTACCTCACTTCCCTGTCCATTTGACATAGATACTGTTTGGGGAAGTGGGGAGCAGGCGTGTGAGAAAGAAGACAGAAGAACCATGGGCACCGCGCATGCGCATGAAGAGATGTTTAGCGTCATTATAATCGCCACCAGAGCTGTAGTCAGCACCACAGTGAGATACTGTTACACACCCACCAGTGGGGGTGAGTTAAAACAAAACCAAATACACCCAGAGAATAACAAGTGTCAGTGAGGATGTAGGGAACTGGAACCCCTACCCACCGCTGGTGGGAATGAACAATGGTGCAGCCATTGTGGAAAACATGGGTCTGCTATTTTAAGAACTCCACCATGGGATCAAATTGATAACAGCAACTTGAACCGTCAGATCAGAATCTCAGGGGCACTGAGTTCATGTTAATGGGGAGGAGGGTGAGGATGGTGGCACCGCTGAGAGAATGCCATCAGTGCCCCCACATTGTACATGTAAGCACTGTCTAATCGGTATGTGTTTTGCTGTACATATTTTCAACAACACAATAAGTAGGATCTAAGTAGAAGAAAAAAAAGAAACAAACAAACAAAAGAAACAAAACAAAACAGCCCCAGGCAGCTCCTCCTTCTGGAACAGACGGAGCTCAGGTGTTTGCTGCTGAGGATGGGGACCTCGGGGAACATGCACTGAATCTGCACTTGACCCCTTACTGGTGGTATGGACTTGAAAGAGCCTGGTCACTTCTTTGAGTTCCAGCTGGGCGACGTGGTCCCTGGGGTCCCTTTCAGCTCTGAGAGTCTCCAGTTTTCAGTGATGCCAGAGGAGCGTGGCGTCTGCCAGTAAAGAACAGAGTTACGTGGGGTAGGCAGCGAAGCGCTGGCTTATTTAGTTAGGAAGCACACCAGTCCAACGATTTCTACATGTGCAATTCAGTAATATCGAGTCCATTCTTCAAGTAGTGCACCCACTACTGTTAGTCTCTTTCCACGTTGCTCTAGCACTGTGCACACAATCTCAGGGACTTTGCCATGGTGGCAAAGAGAAAAGGGAAAGTCACAAAGTCTTTAGGAAGAATGCTGTGGGAAGACGTGCGAGGAGGCCCCTCTCCCTCACAGCGGGAGGAGGGAGAGAATCCAAAACTCCAGTTTCTAAAGTGCCGCCCTCACTCTGGGGGCTTGAGCGTGGCGCTCTCTCACCGTGGGGCTCGCCGTTCCTGTCTGGGGAACCTCCACAGGCATCAGAGCCTCGAGGGGCAGAGGGCCTGCCGCGGGGCTTGCTTTGGGAGCTCAAGACCATTCGCAGGAATCCTGAGCTGATGTCCATCGAAACCGCCCCTAGGACTTGGCGTGTCACTGAGGAGTCTCTAGGCTCCTCCCTGTGGAAAGGTTGCAGTGGACGCAACAAAGTGCTGGCCAGGATGCAGGCCTTTCTAGAACAAGTGTTTGCTTTTGTCAGGGCCTGTTGCTCATTGGATTCAGTCGTTTTCATGGGAAGAGCATTCTGATGCTGAGTGGGTGGCTGGACATTGTGCTTACATGACAGACCTGGCAGGAGGTCCGTGAGAGGTCCCTCTGTGCATAGCAGGGACTCTCTGTCTTCGTCCTGTCCTTCGTTGTTGCCTGGGGAGAACGCGAGGAAGCCTGCTACTCTCCCTTCCCTGTGCCGTTCTGTTCTTCATGTTCTTTCTGCTTCAGACTTAGACTTCAAGGGCAACACAAAGGGGCCTAAGCGTGGCAGGGAGCTTCTCTGTGTGGCTACCCTGACTGTCCTGGTTCCGTCCGGAGGCAGGCGTGGGGAGGAAGGTAGGGCAATCTCACCGTCTCACTTTTCTCCCAGCCTGTGTACAAACTGACGCAGCGGCAGGTGAATATAACGGTACAGAAGAAGGCGAGTCAGTGGTGGGAGAGGCTCACCAAGCAGGAGAAGCGCCCACTGTTTCTGGCCCCTGACTTTGACCGCTGGCTGGATGAGTCTGATGCAGAAATGGAGCTCAGAGCCAAGGTTAGTAAGCACCTGAGGACTCGCTTTGAAGATAGAAATCACAAAGAATCGAGTTTGTGCTCTCAGGTTGCTCTTAAGGCCTGATAGAACAAGGGCAACATTGCAGACTCATTTAAAGACCTGGAGTCATGAGTTTAGAGAAGCACCGGTCAGGTATTTTATAGGCTGCCCCTCAAGGTGTCTGCTGTTTTTCTTGTAATTAGACAGTAGTGATGATTTGGGGGCGGAAGACCACAGAGGTAAAGTGTCCTTAGCACCGCTTGCATGCTATCTACCTGGCCTACCACTGCTGCTACTAATCTCGATCATCTGACTGAGGTGAGGCTTGTCTGATTTCTTGCCTGCAAAGCAGCTCTTTCCCTTTCCTAGTCCACTTTTTGCAAAGCCCGCACTTCAGCAGTGGGGACTTAGGCCCCTGCCTTTTCGGTGGAGAACTTCTGTGACCGATTTGGACTTCCTCCGCCATGAGATGTTTGTCTCCCCCATTACCCGGTTCCATCTCCTAGTGGCCTCTGGGACCGAGTAGCCTTATCCCACAGGGTCCAAGGCTGTGAATCTTCCCAGAAGCAGAGCGTGACTGGTGGTTCAGAGCACCAACCTTTTGGGTAGCGATGTGACTAGTGCGCCTCCAGGCCCCATAAGCCAGTGCTTTTGCTACTTCATTTGCTGTTCCGGTTGTTCCACCCTGGCCATTAGGAGCTCTTTCAGTCGGCTCCTGTGTACCTGTAACATCTCCCGTGACTGTGGTATGTATCTCCAGCCCGGGCACTTCCTCACTTCCTTATATAGTCCATGTCTGAGCCCTAGAGCAAACCATTTCCCCAGGGAACCTTTTCTATTGGACTGTGGTATTGGAAACCAAGACCTGGGCTTTAAGTGTGCTCGTTGCTACCGGGGTGTCCTAGCTTCTAGGTCCACTCAGTTGACCAAGCAAGGAAATAAGGGTGTATACTAACCCATGTGTATACCACGTCTATTTATAAATATTTCTCTATTTGTAGCTAAAGATGAGTTCATACTGATAATAGAGACCTAATTTTAGGTCTGGACATCGTGCTGACATGACATAGATCTTGCAGGAGGTCCGTGAGAGGTCCCTCTGTGCATAGCAGGGACTCTCTGTGTTCGTCCTTTGTTGTTCCCTGGGGAGAACGGGAGGAAGCCTGCTACTCTCCTTTCCCTGTGTTCTTACCCTCTCCTTTCGTTCTGTTCTTCATGTTCTTTCTGCTTCAGACTTAGACTTCAAGGGCAACACAAAGGGGCCTAAGCGTGGCAGGGAGCTTCTCTGTGTGGCTACCCTGCCTGTCCTGGTTCCGTTTCAGAGGCAGGCATGGGGAGGAAGGTAGGGAAAAGTTAAATTAAAAATCCAGAAGTCTTAAAAAAATACACTGCCGAACTATTTTCCCGTGTAAACTTCTGTGCTCTCTCCACAACTGTGACAACGCTGGATGTCATTCCTGTGGTGGGAAACAGTCTCCAATAAGTCATCCCGGGTCCCGTGGGCGCAATTGTACAGCGGTAGTAAGTTAAGGTTATAGTAAAGTCATAGAGAGCATGAGGGATAGAAGGGAGCTAGAAATAACGGAGTTAGACACGTTTCATGGCAGCATGCTCACCTCCTGGATGGCCATGATCTTACCAGCCAGTTCCGCGCATAGCGTGGGCCGAGGACAGGAGAGTGAGGTGAGGTGGACCAGAGACCCGTTTATTGCTAACCAAGGCTTATACCTACTTAAGGGGTGTGATTATAGGTAACCACACGTCACAGGAAGGGGTTGTGCAATAGGTAATACAAGCAATAGGAGGGGGATCTATAAAAGCGTAACAGGAAGGGGATGAGCTAGAGGTGTACATGTGACAAGTAGGGCGGACCCTAGATTCATGATGGCACCCTAACCTTGGTCACCCTTGAGTGGGCTTGACCTGGGCTCTCCTTCAGGAAACAATTTACTACTATCCTTATCAGAAGGGAGTGGGCCCTACTTGTGGGATCAACAGTGGTGACTGCTTGCTCTGGATGGCTGATAACCCTTAGGGAGAATAACCCCTGACCTACTTCTGTTGACCTCCAAGTGTAGATATTTGCCACGTGTAGCAAACAGCTAAGTTTGGCATATATTTGGGGGAGACAGCTTGGGAGAAATCCTTCTGTTTCCCACAATCTTGGAGGTCTAACTTGTGTTTTTGGAAACCTTCTGTCCAAATTCTAGGAGGAAGAGCGCCTGAATAAACTGAGGATGGAAAGCGAAGGCTCCCCTGAAAGTAAGTTAGTGCTGCTGCTGGTTGCCAGATAGCTGGTGGTTGAGCTGGGGTATGGATGCGTGCGAGGCGGCCCGAGAGCTAATGAATTCACCCAGGGAATGAATTTAGGAGAAATCCTTAATGTCCAGTGCTCAAGCTATGCATAACCACATGAAATGCCTTACCTTGAATGCTTCCCATCTGTTTGAGGCATGATATTGCCTGAAGGGGTCTATGGGTGAGCTAGCAGGGTGGGAGAACCTCAGTTTCCTCGACTGTCCTAATGGCCAATGGCAGTCAAGTCTTGAATAGACATGTGGGAATGGCTACATGGGTCCAGTGCTCTGCTCCTTCCAGCCTGGTGTTTTTCTCTTGACTGGGATCTCAAGAACTGTGCCATAGATGGAGTGATTGTCAACCTTAAAGAGATCCTGCTACTCAATAGCTGTATAAAAATTGATTTCTACTTCTAGCTGCCCAACCACTTATAAATGGAAACCTTTGAAAATGTATTGGCTTCTGAGTAACTTAAATTTGGCATTGGTCTGTAAAAACTCATGCTCTGTGGGAAGCACTGTAGTAGGCCAGTGTGACGAATTCACCGTAACACCTGTTCTCCAAGGTCCATCTGAAACTAACTCTGAGAAGGAGGAGTTGCCCTAAATTCAACCTTTTCAAATGTTAGTGGTGCTTGTTTGGTGTGCCGTAAGTAACGAAGGGGACTGGTTTCCATGGTGCCCCGGGGTTCCCAGAGCTGCTTTGGGGGCTAGGTCAAGCAAGCCGGCCCACTTCAATCAGAGCAGCCCTGCCTTTGTGTTTTATGTATTCGGGTTCTGAATAAGATGGCTTTTGAAAAGGGTTTTCATTGCGTCCAAAGAAGATTTGAATAGCCTTTAATTCTTTTTGAGAAGCCGGAGAGGAGAGGATTAGTGATGGCAAAGAAGAAGGCCGCAGAGAGGCCACCTTGAGACTTCAGTCAGTCTGGTGTTTAAAGGGGAAGCTATGTGGAGATTCACATAGGATAGTAAATAAAACTCTGTGTAACTTAAACTATATAGTCATATCATGCATGTTTGTCACTCTGAAGCAGAAAATGATAACTAGTTAATGTTGCTAGAAGTCTTATATTTTTCAGATCCCTTGGGGGATAAGGCTGCTTTTGATTGACCACGCCATTAAATGTAGTTTTCTCAAAGACCTGTCATGTGTTTATGTAGCATACCTGTAGTTTGGGCATAAACATAACGGCAAAATTGGAGCTTCATAGCTCTTCTCCTGATAATTCCCTTTAAAAACCCCAACTCTGTGACTCAACCACGCTTCTGTCTCAACTCCTGCTTGCTCCTTCGATGGACCTTGTTAGCCTTTACTTGCCTGTGTCTTCCTGACCCTCAGGCTGGAAACAAAATCAGTGCCCTTATTTCCTGGCCTCTCGGCTTGACATTGCCCTCCTCTGGTTGTAGCCTTATCCTGCCCAGGAGCCACTAACTTAGCAGTGCACTGGTCTCACCTTGGACTTTTCACAGTGCATTACCTGGGACTCTTCCTCTGGTCGTGTGAGTTTTAGATGGTAACCGTGAGGGTGGCAGCAGCGTGGCCATCTTGGTATCTGAAGTATGCCCCTCACAGTACCTGGCACGTTGTAGATGATCAGTTCGTGGTTGGTTGATCTCGGATATGATCAACTATGGTAATTTCTTTTTCCCCCCTTCTAATCACTGTTTTTAACTCTTGGAGTTAGTTTGACCTGCATGGCCTTAAAAAAGTTCCAGAGAAGAAACAGGACCGGGGATTGTGCTAAATGAGTAGCTCAGGGCTGAGTGTAGCTTCCTTTCCATTCTGTAATGCCTCCTAAGACTGTCAGCCATCCCTTCTTGGGTTGGTCAGGTATGTGTTTTCACTCCTAAGGCTGTCGAGGGAAAGCCTCTCCGAGCAGACTGTGGAGTACACACTGTTGCTCATGATTTCCCCTGAGCGATGACGGTGGCACCAGCTGGTGAAGACCTGGGTTAGGTATTCGTGTGATAGCTTAGGGCCCCCAAATAAGAAATAGGGGTGAAGTCGTCTAGGTCTGCCCCACCCATCCCTCTACTGCCATGACTACTGCTATTAACAGCCTACCGCCTCAATTTGTTTTTCAGCTCTCGCAAGCATGCGGAAAGGATACCTGTTCATGTATAACCTTGTGCAATTCCTGGGGTTCTCCTGGATCTTTGTCAACCTGACTGTGCGCTTCTTTATCTTGGGCAAAGGCAAGTGAGAAATTTCAGGGCTAGTTTCTTTCTCTGAGCATTTGGGTCCACTACTCACCAAAAGTAGCATCTGCCTTTGGCACTATCAGGAAGCCCCGACTTCAGCTTTTCATCATACTGCCCCTTCCACTTACAAGGAAAGAGAGGGGCTTAAAGAAACAGCTCAAGTGCACCGTGAAAAGCCATGTGCCAGAGGCCTGCGTCGTGGGCCAGCACCTTTCTCTACTCCCTTCTTGACAGTTCATTGTAAGTACATGAACGACGTGATGCCTGGCGCGCACTCGCTGCTCCGGTTCTGGAGCTGTTCTGGCCCCTGTATAGACAGATTCTAAAGTGGACTATGCAGAAAGAGAAGGAAAAGGTTAATGAAGCTATTGATTCTTCCCAAATTCATTTTTATGTTTAATAAAACGTTGCCCATATTAAACGCCAAGGGAAACTCTGAGCATCTGAATAGATGAGTATTGAAATTGTGAGGTGGGGGTGGAGAGTAGTGGGAGAGGACTGTGTCTTCCCGGATGAGAGGGTGGTGGGGCAGTCAACAGAGCAGATGAGGTGGTCCAGAAACAGTTCTCGATCGGTATCTGAATGAGGCACATAGATGACCGAAGAGGAATCATCACTCACCAAATATTGCAATGATTTTATTAGATGGGAAATTTAGTAATGTTTCCAAGGAAAACAGGATCCGGGAGCATGCGGGAACGAGGAATCTGTTTAGCATTTCTCCTCACATTGTGTGCAAAAATAAACTACCTCAGAAGAGTTTAGCGTTATATTAAAAAGTTAAGTCATAATAGAATATATAAATAAATGCTCATAGAAATTCATGTTAGGACATTCTAAGAGTAAAAATGTTAGAAAAAAATCATAAAGGAAATCTCAATTACTTTGACAACGTAAATTTTTTTTCTTAATTTAAGTATGCTAAATATTGCCTTTAGTATAGGCATTTTTTCTTTTTTTGGCCATTTCTTACATCATTCAGTATAACTGCAGTTCTGTTGTTCGTTCCCTTAACGTGGGGTTAGACAGTAAAATGTTCTTATGTACCTAAAAATACCACGGTCAAGACAGCCTCAACAACTAACAGCCCCACTTAGTTAGGGGGATAGCGTGGAATTGGGGAGTTGGTGAAAAAATACCAGCAAGGGTTGATTTCTTTGTATATAAAGAACTTGTACTAATTAATTTGAAAACATGAAAACTTCACTCAGTAGGTGTGGTAGTTATGTAATTGTCAATTTAAGGACTAAGTGTGTAGGGGTGGAGTCTAGTCTGTCAATCAGGTCATAGCCAATGAGGTTTCTGTGTGGGCATGGCCTTCTCCTGAGGATTCTGGGAAATCCAGTACTTCCTCCTGGGGGGCAGGAGACACTTCTCTCTCTGCCACTCCCTGGGAGACATTGCAGCCGACAAGACACATGGAATTATGCTAGTGCCCCAACTTGGAGAAGCCACGTGGACCTACCCTGATGCAACCAGACCTCTGAAGCCGGAGAAGCCACAGAGAGACCCCTGCCAGTGCTGCGATGCTTACACCACCACTGGATCCAAAGACTTTCTACCACTGGCCTGTGACCGCCCTGCATTCAGCATCATTGCATGTGTTTCGTGAGTCTCAAGAGGACTTTATAGATTGGTATCTGACATATGGCTGGCCTTGGACTGAACTGGGTTGGGATGCTTTCTCAATGTTGTGAGTCTCAAGAGGACTTTATAGATTGGTATCTGACATATGGCTGGCCTTGGACTGAACTGGGTTGCGATGCTTTCTCAATGTTCAGTTGCTCTTGTATATAAATCTCTTTCATATATATATGTATGATTATGAAATTGTTTCTCTAGTCTACCCAGACTAACACATTAGGTAAATAAGCAGAAGCTATATGTACATTTAAATAAGGAGGTAAAACTTAATTTGCCATACAGAAAAATGTTTTAACTCAATAATGATGAAGGAAATGCAAATTAAAACACATTGTTTTTCACTGATCAGTTTGCATTGTTAAACACGAGACCTGACTCAAGAGAGCAGATGCTAAAATAGACATGCCCAAGGCTACTGGAAGGGTACCCAAGTATAACGAAAATTATTTGGCAAAATGTATTAAGAACCTTGAGTAACTGTTCATAATCTTGGCCCAGGTTCTTTCACTTCTGGAAATATATCTTTTTAAAAAAAAATCATTTTATCGGGAGCTCTTAAGATATTGTAACCATTCATAATTCAATTAGATCAAGCATAATTGTACAATTTCTGCCACCAGCAGTTTCAAAAGATTTCCTTTATTCTCAACTCCTTGATATCACCTCCCCTTTATCCCCTCCATCTCCCGCCCTACTCCCCAGAAACCCTTATTATGATATATTATTATTGTTATTTATTTTTGCCGTATCTTACATCATCCAATGTATCCATTCACCTGCAAGTCTGTTGTTTGTTCAACTCCGGTGGGGTTAGACAATGATTATTACTATTAATTCCCCCTCCACTGCCCTTCTTGAACCCTTTGGGAATCATTACTCCCGTTACTGTTCCTGAAGGGTTATCTATCTTGGCTTTCATGCATCCAACAATAGAAATGAACCTACGCAGGTCTAACAAGATAAAAGAGGTAAAACAAAAACCGTAATGGTAAGGGGAGGAAGTCTTAAAGAACTAGGCGGCTCCACTCCTGGCTCATGCTGGGGTGGGATCACACCCCCTGCTTTCCAGTGGACTCATTTCATCTGCAGTGGGGCGGCATTGCCTGCCGCTTAGAATTACAGACAAATCCTGTCAGTATCTTCCCCCACCTTCCTATCAGAACTGCGTAGGGAAAGGTCATTTGGTGAGAGCTAAACGGTGCAATCAATTTTCACCAATTTTAGTCTATTCCCCGCCTCTGGACTGTATCTTATTTATGTATCTATGACTTGGGACCTCTGGCAAGAGGTTTCCAGTAGGCGTTGACATCCTACTAACCTTAATCAGCCAGGCTTAGTCCCAGGACACTCCAGAAACAATTCTTTCTCTTCTCAGCTGTAGAATATAATTCCTTACATCCACTGTAAGTAATAGTAACTAAAATAACCATTAAGGAAAGACTGGTCCAATTCACAACTTCTGAGGTCAGAGCGCTGGGTCATCCCATTCCTGTTTGTTTGCAGATAATGGTCCCCCAAAAGGTTCCACGTCCACAAGCGTATGAAATCTAGAATGCTTGTCTATCGTATAAGGGCCTATAGCTGGAAGACCCGTATCATTTGAGCACAACTCAGATACTGATTGCAATCCCCACGCTATAACAACACCCTTACTACTTCCTGTGTTTACCATTCCCATTTGACCATCCCGATCTCTTTCTGCTTTCTGAGTGAAAACTGCTCTTTTGATCTCATTTGGCCATTTCTTAGGAGGGCCTGCCCCTCTGGTGTAACTGCTCACCTTATAGGCCTGTCCGTTGCTTGGCTGTAAGTTGGGGTGGGTTCACTACCAGGTTTGCAGGGTGGTAAGGACCATTCCCTCCAGGGCCCGTAGGATTTCTACCAGTAAATAAACCTTTATTGCTGTCTCTTATACAGAGTGGCTCGTGGGTTTGAACCACCAATCTTTCAGTCAGCAGCTAAAGTATTGCCTAGGCCAAGGCTGCTGGAATGAAAATAATTGTAGTGATATTCGAATACATCAATGTCTACTTTGTTTAACCTCACATCGTTGGATTGATCCTGAGTGTTCCACTTAAGCCTTTTGGCTGTTAGACTCTTAATTTCTGTTGTGGCTCCCTGCCCCTTTTCATCAGTTCTCAAAGATGTGATAAAAATATGTACCTGGTGTCATCGTGTGCTCTTTTCAATGTGCTTAATTAAATTAAGGCTATTGCTGATTGACAAATTCCACACATGTACTTGTCTTTCCAAGTGTGTTAGTCTGGGTTGACTAGAGAAACAAATCCAGGGAGACGCATATGTGTAGAAGAGAGAACTTTATGTATAAGAGCAATTGAATATTGAGAAACCATCCCAGCCCAGTCCAGATCAAATCCATAAGTCCGATATTAGCCCATATGTTCAACGCTAGTCCATAAATTCCTCTTTAGAAGCACGCAGTCATGCAAGAATGCCAAATGCAGGAAGATCACAGACCAGTGGGTGGAAATTCTTGTGGATCCAGTGGTGGTAGAAGCATCTCAGTGCTGGCGTGGGTTTCCATGTGCTCCTGCAGCTCCACCAGTGGCTCGTCAACAGGAATGTCTCGCAGGGAGACCAAACGGAGTTTGTCTATATCTGGCCTCCCCTGAGTTATTCATGTCCATGTGCCTCCAAATGAGGTCATCAAGCTGTGACCTGATTGACAGGCTAACCTCCCCCCATCACAAGTTGACACCAGATTATGTAACTTCCACACCAAGCTCAGCGAACCTGTGGGCTTGGCCAGCAGCTCCGGGCTTGTCCAACTGTTTCTCAAAACCATGCAAGAAGACCAAGGACATTGTTATTTTTGAGCAATAGAAAGACATCATCAATATTCTGGGAAGCTAAAAGTGTCTACTTGGAAATTCAAAAGGCAAAGGAAAAACTATTACAATACATGAGAGAAATAGCTTAGTAGGATAAAAACAGAATTTTCCCAAGTGGATTGTGGTAATGACTGTACAACCCTCCTGAAAATGATTGGATTGTGTGATGGGTTAATTATAGCTCAGTAAAGTAATTTTTAAATGTATAGAATTTACACACCAGCCAAATACCAGTAGTTAGCTAAAATAGATGGAAAAATACAGTCTGCAAACGTGTACTTTTATGTACATGTGTATGTATAAGGAAAATAATACAGTTTTAAGGTATTCAAACGACCATGAATAGAGACCTAAAAACTGTATAGATGGAACTCTTAGCATTATACGTATGCCAAAATTTATAAATCATTTAAAAATTAAGTGCTAGTCCAGCACACATTTTCTCAAACAAATTTTATTGGCATATAATTTACATAAATACAATTCAGTAATTCACCATCATCACCATCATCAATTTTAGAACATTTTCCTTTTTGTACTCGTTGTTATTAGCTCTCCATTTCCCCCCAGCCTCCAGCACACATCTTATTTATAGCCTTAAATATAAAGGTAGATCAAATCATAGAAACGGACACTAAACCATGTAAGAATGTGAAGCCCTTGCTTCTGGAAGGTAGTGCATCGGTTGTTGGGAGTCCTCCCCAAAGAGCTCCTTGGCAGAGGACCCCCACGCCGACGCGCACCCTCGGCGCCTCGCAGAAGGGCCCGCATCACGTGCCTTTTTCAGTTGTCCCAGTTTGAGGAACAACAAGGGAAGGGGCAAGGGTAGGTTTGTAGGGTAGATGGGGCAAGCCCCCAAGGGAATTTTATAGGACGGCTCCTGCCACCCTTGAACAATATGTACAGCTCTCTATTAAGGAACACATTTTTATTTTTAAAAAAAATTCTAATTATAAGAATAATAAGTGTTAACTACAGAAAAGTCAGAAAATACTTAGACAAAACCAAAAAACCTTACCATAATCCTATTTATGAGGTCAACAGATTCTTCAAACTTGGTGTATATCTTTCTGAACACAATTCTATAAAAAAAAAATTCTTAGGAGTAAAACATATGTAGCATTTGTTTTATGCCAAATAGAACATCATGAATATCTTCACATCATTGAAGATATTTCTGCAATAGCACTTCAAATGGGTGCATTTTCTGTATTCACATGTAGTAATTTAACTGAGTAGACATTTCTAGATGTTGTGAACTCTGTTCCAGTGAACTTCTTGTAACTAAATCATTGAACATTAAGAATTTCCTTAGAAAATTTTCAAGTAACATTACAGGATCAAAGTATAAGGACTTTTCTTTTTAATTATAAGGATTTTGACATAGACTCAGAATTTTCCTGGAGAACGAGTATATACTAAAAAGCCCACTTCTGTTATTTAATCCCTTTCATTAGTGTACTAGTGCCATTTTTTTTGTATTAGTGTCTTTTAATTTTCAAAAATACTTTTTCAAATCATAAAAGTTAATGTGTTGATGTAAGAAAGTTTAGAAATGAGAGAAAACTGGAATAAGGATTGGGGGAGGAAGTATTTTTTCATCACCATCTATGAATTTCCTTTTATTATTTTTTCTCCAGTTAAAAAAAAGTAATTACTATAGCCATACTATGCATATAATTTTGCATCTGGTTTTTAAAATTTAATGTTCTAAGCATTTAAGATATTGATATTCCTAATAGCTATCATTTTAGAAACAGGCTTATAGTCATTAATTGAAACAAGGATGAGTTTCCCATAAAATCAACAAGTCCTACTTTTTATTATCCATGTGCTAAATCTTAACCCATAATCCTCTATTTCAAAGTATGAGAAATCCTCATATTCCAAGAAAAATGCTACTTATAGTGAATCTCCTTAATGCGGATAGCAGAATTTCATTGTAAATGGTGATACAAATGTATGCCTGGGATTTTATCTTGAAAAGTGACATTTAAGATTATGAAAATGTTTTCCATCTTAGATATACCATATATATTTGTGTATAAGCACATTTTTCCAGCACATTTTTAATGCAGTTTTTCTGGTAAAATTAGGTGCTCTGGCTGATATTCTGGTCAGCTTATATTTGAGTATATACAGTAAAAATTTAAGTTATTATGATAATTTGCTGTAATTCTTCCAAAAAAAGAAAAAAGTCAAATTTTGAACTTGGTGGAATGTTTCTGATAAGAATCAGATTAGTACTATATACCATTTTTGTCTTCACATTTAACTTTCTAGAAGGATCATAAATTGAATTATTTCATGAAAATATTTATGTGCATGTGCACTTATGATTGTATAGTTTTTGACATTATGAAAGGCTGGATTGTCCCTGAGGACCAATAATGAGAGTAGTGGATACCAGGAGGGTGGAGGGAAGGTGGGAGAGAAAGGGGGAACCGATCACAAGGATCTACATATAACCCCCTCCCTGGGGGACGGGCAACAGAAAAGTGGGTGAAGGGAGCCATCGGTTAGTGTAAGACATGATAAAATAATAATAATTTATAAATTATCCAGGGTTTGTGAGGGAGGGAGGGGAAAAAATGAGGAGCTGATACCAAGGGCTCAAATAGAAAGAAAATGTTTTGAAAATGATGATGGCAACAGATGTACAAATGTGCTTGACACAGTGGATGTATGGATTGTGATGAGTTGTACGAGCCCCCAATGAAATGATTTAAGATAAAAAAAAAGGCTAGATTAAATCTCAAACTATTCATATATTGAATGCAATGAGATTTAATTTAAATGAGTAATGAATCTGAAAAGAATTATTATTATGCCTGACACATAGGTTTTTAAAAAAGTTTTGTAGCACTTCATCCACCTGTCATACAGCTTAATGGTTCAGCCGTATCAAGCAGAGTTGTCTGTTATCACCCCGTCCATTCTCGAACATTAGGTTTTCTGTGTATAGTAAGTGAATGAAGTCTAGGTGTGCTGTTTTCTTACATTTTGGGGATGAGAAAGGTACAAGGACTTAAAGTTAACTTTTTGGTAGCCAGTAGTTTATGTATTTATTTTTTAGTTTATTCTTTATGATGATAATGCCCCAATCTCTTCCAATTTAGTTGGTAGTAAAATTGAATTTGGCTTTTAAAAAAACCATTTTATTGGAGGCTTGTACAACTCCCATCACAATCCACACACACCCATTGGGTCAAGCACACCTGCATACCCATTGCCTTCATTATCCCCAAACATCCGCCCTCCACCTGAACCCCTGGCATCAGCTCCACCCCCTTTCCTTTCCTCTGCGCTCCCCGCTCTCTCAGGAACCCTTGACAATCTACAAATCACTATTATTTTGCCATATCCCACGCCGTCCAACGCCTCCCCTCACCCCCTCCTCTGCTGTCCATCTCCCAGGGAGGAGGCCACATGCAAATCCCTGCAATCGGCTACCCCCTCCACCCCACCCTCTTATTAACCTTTTAAAATTTATTTTATTAGGGGCACATACAACTCATCACAATCCATACATACATCAATTGTGTAAAGCACATTTATACATTCATTGCTCTCATCATTCTCAAAACATTTGCTCTCCGCTAAGCCCCTGGCATCAGCTCATTTTTCCACTCCATCCCTGCTCCCCCTTCCCTCATGAACCCTTGATAACTTATAAATTATTTTGTCATATCTTACATTGTCCAATGTCTCTCTTCATCCACTTTTCTGTTGCCCGTCCCCCAGGGAGGAGGTTATATGTAGATCCTTGTAATCGGTTCCCCCTTTCTACCCCACCCTCCCGGTATCGCCACTCTCACCACTGGTCCTGAAGGGATCATCCATCCTGGATTCCCTGTATTTCCCGTTCCTATCTGTACCAGTGTACATCCTCTGGTCTAGCCATATTTGTAAGGTAGAATTGGGATCATGATAGTGGGGAGGAGGAAGCATTTAGGAACTAGAGGAATGTTGTATGTTTCATCATTGCTACACTGCACCTTAACTGGCTCGTCTCTTCCCCATGACACTTCTGTAAGGGGATGTCCAATTGCCTACAGATGGGCTTTGGGTCTCTACTCCGCACTCCCTCTTATTCACAATGATAATGATTTTTTGTTCTGATGATGCCTGATACCTGATCCCTTCGACACATTGTGATCACACAGGCTGGTGTGCTTCTTCCATGTGGGCTTTGTTGCTTCTGAGCTAGATGGTCGCTTGTTTACCTTCAAGCCTTTCAGACTCCAGACACTATATCTTTTGATAGCCCAGCACCATCAGCTTTCTTCGCCACATTTGCTTATGCACCACATTTGCTTATGCATCTTCAGTGATCATATCGGGAAGGTGAGCATCAGAGAATGCCAGTTTAATAGAACAAAGTATTCTTGCATTGAGGGAGTACTTGAGTGGAGGCCCAATGTCCATCTGCTACCTTAATACTAAACCTATAAATATATGCACATAGATCTATTTCCCCATCCTCATATATAAATATATTTACATATGTACACTCCTTTATTTAAAGTTCTTCTTTTAATGTATGGAGTTATCTAGTTTGAGAAGTGATTCTGTTGGAATATGGTGGCTGACTCACCACGTATGTCTGTCTGTTCCATAGAATCCTTCTATGACACATTCCACACGGTGGCAGACGTGATGTATTTTTGCCCAGATGCTGGCAGTTGTGGAAACTGTCAATGCAGCAATCGGAGTCACCAGGACCCCAGTGTTGCCCTCTCTTGTGCAGGTACGGAGCAGTTGCCCTTCAGGGCGGGGAGGGAAAGGTTCCATCTCATATCTAGTAGGTGTGCCACAGATTGCTAACAAGTTTCAATTAGTAAGAGTATATGCTTCTCCAGGAATAGCATTGCTTTTTCGGAACAAGGTAGAAAACTTTAACCCTCAGAGAAATTTTCCAAAGTAGGTTTTTGCCATTTTCATTGTTTCAATGCTAATTCATTGTTAAAAGCAGCCTTGGTGGCATAGTGGTTATGCCTTGGGCTGTGATCTGAAAGGTCCCCTGTTCAAAACTACCAGCTGTTCTGTAGGAGAAAGATGGGGCTTTCTAGAAATCCTGTAAACAGCTACAATCTGGACATTCACAGGGGCAAGTCTACCCAGTCTTACAGAGTTGGCTGACTCAGTGGCAGTGAGGTTCTTTGTTTAGTTTCAATGTTGTAACATCTTCATGAAATCACAGAGCTTTAAATGAGCTTTTAAAACTCGAGAAACTGGACTCTCCAGTTTGAGCAGAAAAGCCTACTCAGTTGTCCAAGGCAGAACCAGCACGGAGCGTCCCTGTCCCGGGCAGCTGAGGGCAGCCCACAGCTGTTTCCACTGGGACTGTCCTTTCAGTTTATCCGTGTTATTTCCGAAGACCTGAAAACGGTTAGCAGTGAGGAGCAAGAAAGGCAGCCTCCTTGACCTGTTCCCTAGCTCATCAGTCCTACCCGCACCGGCTCTGCGGAGCCAGGTGGCTCCTCGGCAGTCTCTTCTGGAACACGGTTTGATGGTTCTGCCCCTTCTGCCCAACCAGCTCTGTCCCATCTGCTTTCCGGAGAAGGCGGTTTTGCTTAGTTTAAGAAGAAAGGAGGTCGTAGATGACCCATTAACACGAAGTAGCAACCTTTGCATATCAAGACGATTTGAGCAGGAAACAGGAAACTATAATGCAGAAGCAGAGCGGAGAAGGAGCAAATAGAGCTTCTATTCATGAGAATTAGTCGTCAAAGTTGAAAATGGATCGTTTAATAGTCGACACAGCGGTAGAGAACATTGGCAGGTCTGAGGACGTGAACAGAATGAAGTACAAGAGAAGGAAATACGAGAGAAATGAAGAGACGGGACCGAGCAGAAGGCTGACATACAGGGGTACTACCCCAAACACTTTTTTTCCAAAGCTATGTATTTACATTAAATTTTTTAACAAAACAACTTATCACCTTCAAAGTACTCTCCATTGCACCTAATATATTTGTCAAATCTGCAGTTCGATTCTCTTTTTTTTAAATTCCATTCTTGGAAACATTTTCCAAACTCTTCTGCGTAGTTGGCTGACAGCACCTCTCTGGTTTTTTCCTTTACCTCTCCTACATCCTAAAATTGCTGTCCTTTCATGTCCCTCTCCCTTTGCAGAAACAAAAACTCACAAGTAGCGAGGTCAGCTGAATAAGGTGTGTGGGGCAAGAGAGGCCTGCTGTTTTGGCCAAAAACGGACCCTAAAATGGCTGTGTGAGCAGGTGCATTGTCTTGGTGGCAAAGACAGTCCCCCATCTGCCACAGTCAGACCTTTTTTGGTCGCACACTGTCACACAATCTCTTCAGAACTTCTAAATAGGAAGCTTGATCTGATCAACAGTCTGACCTGGTGGAACGCACTCCAAATGCACTGAGTCGACATTTTCATCTGTTTGGGAAGTTGATGGACGTCCAGTACAAGGTTTGCCGTCAGTCGACATACCACCTTTTTGAAAACGAGAAAACCAGTCATACACTTGAGTTTTTCCCATAGTGCTGTCCTTGTAAGCTGTGTTCAACATCACAACATTCTGCGGCATTTTTCCCGAGCAGGAAACAAACTTTCACAGCCACATGCTCTTAAATCAGCCATCACAAAAAACAAGGTTCGAGCAAAACTGCTTTTATGAAAAATTCACGGTGACCAGAGAGAACCTTCCAAGTCGACGCCACCAAGTGAGGTTGTGCGTAGCTCAGAACGAGCTGCTCGATGCTCGCCTGGCAGGAAAAATGCTGACTACGAAAGCTTCGCTCTGCTCAGCAGAGCTTCTTTCTATTTTTTGTCACCCTTCTATGTCGAAAACGAATTTAGAAGAAGAGAGAGGGTGATTGCAGTGGAGGAAGAGGTTACAAGAGATGATGTTAGAATTTTCTAGAACTGATGAAAAATGCTAAATCCAGAATCGAGAAACACAATAAATCTAAATCAAGATTAAAAAAAAGAAATTCAGGGGCTGAAGTAGAAAGAAAATGTTTTGGAAATGATGATGGCAACATATGTACAACTGTGCTTCATACAATTGATGTATGGATTATTCTAAGAGCTGTAAGAGCCCCCAATATAATGATTTATTCATAAAATAAACAAAATAAAATAAATTCACCCATGGACATATCAGAATAAATTTGCAATGTGCCAAAACAAAAACCTTAAACATACCTAGGTGGTAAAGACCAGGTACTTTTAAAGAAGCCACAGTAGACGTTCCACAGTTGTAAAAGAAGCCAAAAGATGTCTTCAATGTACCTTTAAAGGGAAAGCAATACACATTGTTATAGCTAAGAAAACATAGTCACAACTAATAAAGGGACGTAAGCTTATGTTTATTAAAATATATAGGGTTAGGTTTTAGGATGGTTTCCTCTGTT